GCAAATCTAGACAGCATACTAAAAAGCAGAGACATCACCCTGCCAACAAAGGTGCTTATAGTTAAGCCTATGGTTTTCACAGTTGCAATGGATGGCTGTGAAAGTTGGACCATAGAACACTTCTCTTCACTGGAGAAGACTCCTGCAAGTCCTTGGACTGCAAGTAATCAAACCGGTCAGTCCCAGCGGAGATCTCCCCAGACTGCTCTTTAGAAGGCCAGATCCTGAAGATGAAACTCATATACTTTGGCCACCTAATGAGAAGGAAGGACTCACTGGAGAAGAGCCTAATGCTGGCAAAAGAAGGGGACAACAGAGCATGAGGTAGCTGGAGTCATCGAAGCAGTCGGAGTGAGCTTAAATGGACTCCAGAGGATGGTAGAGGACAGGAAGTTCTGGAGGAACGTTGTCCATGGGATCGCAATGGGTCGGACATGATTTCGCAACTAACAACAAGTCTTGCTAGATCCATGAACTGGTGTCAGTAGGTCATCACTGTACATTGCAGAAAGCAACAGAAATTAAATTCCACTGCAATGAAAAACCCAGTCAACATATGGGATGATCATGGCCAGTTCTAATGTTCAATGGTTTTCCAAGGAAAAGGATAAAAGATGTAAAACAATTTGTAGAAGCTTGAACTGTAAAATATTTATACTGTTTCTTTGACTTAAAATGAGACTTTATAATTAACAAAGAAATATTTTTTAAAACTGACAAATTATTTTACAGCACCATAACTCTAAAAACATAACATCACAGTCAAAATGAATATGCTCAGCCAGTTTTTATGTAAATTCTAAAGTATGAAATATTGGTTTATAATCTAAATGTAGATATTATAAATATTAAGACAACCCACTGTGTTCCATTGTCATTTTTTTATACTTGATAGTTGATATTTTCTGGTCATATATAGTGAAATTTGTAAGATTTTCTGCCAGGAATGGTATTTTACAAAGTGCTCAATTTATTCATGTAATGGAATGAGAATAAATAAACTTGCATTATGTTTTAACCAGCTTACTCCAGTCTTAACATACAAAGAAAAAAAATAGGGCTCAGTTTCAGTTGTAGTTTTAGATAGGGCTGTACTCCCTATAGTAAAGGAATTGTGAGTTGCAGTCTCTCTGAGATTTGTGGTTCCTATTGAAGTAGCAAGCAGAAGCTAGTGCCTCTACTCCAGTTACAGCATACAGAATACAGCAATCAAAGTACTGGGCCCAATTTAAAACGCTTGCCATTAACTAAAATTCCTATCAGGATTTTGGATTATCTTACAGATTGCCTTATACTTTACTGCAGCCATACACCTTCCCCAACAAAAGGCTATGGCTCTCCCAACAGGCTATGGCTCTCCACCCTTCTAAATATACCTTTAATACTTAGTCCAGGTAAAAGTCTATTAGTCTATAAAGTAATATACAATATACAATATAAATACACTTCTAGAGTTCTTACTCTTATGAGCAGTGGTGGCACAGTGGTTAGAGTGCAGCACTGCAGGCTACCTCCGCTGACAGTCAGCTGCCTTCAATTTGGCAGCTCAAATTTCACCAGCTCAAGCCTTCCAAGGTCAGTAAAATGAGGTCCCAAATTGTTGGGGGCAACATGCTGACTTTGTAAACTGTTTTGAGAGGGCTGCAAAGCACTGTAAAGCGGTATTTAAGTCTAAGTGCTATTGCTAGTGCTATCGCTACTCTATTTGGGATGAGATGTTGCTTCAGTGTGGTTGTTTTAGTTGCTGTTGAGCTCCCAGCAAAGGTCCAAGCAGAACTCCCACCATTTGACAAAAGCGTTGGACTTGATGACCAATGCTTCTGTCAACCAGATACATGTGTTCATTAGGATTTATCTTGTGGTAGTAAGAGCAGCAAAGAGCTCTTCTCCATTCACACTGTGTCCAGCATGTTATAGCGTGTCGGCCACTGGCTCCTCCAACAGCCAAATCAGAGGAGGAGGAGGCATGGGAGTCAGGGTCAGTATCAAGGCAACCTGAGAGCTCCAAGGGGGAAGTGGGAGTGGATTTGGCAGAGAGAGAGACAGAGGCGGAATCTGGGCCGTCTGTCAGCCTCAGATGGAGAGTCAACAGCCCCCAGGTCTGAAGGTGACTGATGAGGAAGAGAAGGAACAGCTGGGTCCAGTGCCTGACACGAGGATGTGCACAAGTCAGAGAAAAGGAGAGCAATGGAAATCCAAGGGCTGATTTTTGGGAAGGAAGAGCCAACGCTAACGAAGCCCCACCCTAGCTCTGGGGATAAAAGGGACTAAAACTACCCCCCACGTTAAAGGAGGCATCTTCTCAAGAGATGACCCTTGAACCCAACCATATTTGATAACTTTTGTCCAGTCTCCAACCTTTTCTTTTGGAAGAAAATTGTTGAGAGGGTAGTGGGCACCATGGATGAAGGAGATTATCTGGCTCCTTTTCAGTCTGGGAGTAGAGCACCAAAATGGCATTGGTACCACTTGTGGATGATCTCTAGAGGACTCAGGATAAGGGTATAGCAACCATCCTGGGCCTTCTAGATCTCTCAGTGGCTTTTGATACCATTGATCTTGGTATTCTTTTGAAGCAGGTTCAGGAATTGGAAATGGGAGGCATTGTTTTGGAGTGGTTTCCTCCTTTCTTCTTTTGCCCAATTTCGGTTGGTGTTTGTGGGGAGAAAGGTCGATTCCTAGAAAGGTCCCTGTAATGTTGGACTCCACAGTGCTTGGGTCACTCTCCTCTCCTATTTAACATTTAGGATTTTTTCAACAAAGGACAAGAAAAGACTTTCTAGCATCTAGTCATCTTGGGGAAGGAGAATTCTGTTTGTGATTTTTTTTCAGGAACTTTCTATTATTTTAAATTAATGTTATTGCTACTCTACACTGTTATTACACTGTTAATGTTGCTGTATGTGTGCATTCTTCTATTAGTTTTGACAGAATAAAATTTAAAATACATTTTAAAGAGAATTTTAAGAGGACAAAACCATCAAAGTGGTGACTTAAACATCATACCTCTTATACAGTTCCTCCTTTGCTTCAGAAGGCTTTTGACCAAAACTTTCTGTGGTAGGTGGACAGATCCCTGGACAAATTAAAACAAATACTTGTTATATAAAAATAAATTTTCCATTTTGTTTTTATAGGAGGTATAAAGACAAAAGAAACAAAGACACTCAGCTAAATTACAAAATATCTACTGTATTTCAGAAGAAACAAAAAAGCAAATCTGTGAAATCTAAAATATTGGGTAAATAAATTGCTTATGAATTATGAATATGCTGAAACATTCCAGAGTGCCAACAGGAATAATGCAGAATTCTCACAACAAAAAAGGCTATTACAAAGTTTGAAAAAAATCTAACAAAGCATATTATTACAGCTGTGAGTGGATCATATATTAATGTAAATAATATTTCATCATAGAACATGTCTCTAATAGTATGAAACAGATTCATTAATTTATAAGTCATCCCTTAAATAAAAGGCACACAATACCTGTGAACACCTTAGATTTTTCTTGAGATTGCTGGTCTTGTTTAGGTTGGCTTTTTTCCTTCATTCTATTTACTACATCTTCAGAAAGCTAGCCCAAATAAAAAAATAGTGGGAATATAAGAAAGTTTACGTTACACATTTTCTTAAAAGTTATGTTTTGATTAGTGATAAATACAATTGTCATGGTTTATGAATTACAATGGATATATTCATAAACATTATTAATCCAAAACCTGAAACAATAAATTCTGTTTTAGCATGGGTCATATACCATGGAGGAAAATAAGACTCACAGTATCATATAGTACTTACAAGAAATTCAGTGTTAGTTGTAATATAAAAGTACTTACAAACACATAAAATAATTATTGACTGGTCAAAATAAATCATATGCTTGACTTGTCTTATTAAAGCTGTTATTAAATTGTCATGAACAGTACATAAGCAGATATAAATTGAGATATTTTCTTAGGCTTACTGGCATGTAATAGTTGTTAAGTCAGAGATGTCCAGCCCTGGAAGCTTTAAATCCTCTAGACTTCAACTCCCAGGACTCTTAAATTTAATTATACTAGGACCTAGAGCTGTGAAGGCAAACCTATGGCACGTGTTCCACAGGTGGCACGCAGAGCCATTTCTAAGAGCACGCAAGGCGTTGCTCTGTCAGCTCCAGGGAAGCCTCCTGAAGCCTCCGGAGGGAGAAAAATGTCCCAACGGGCAACCCAGAAGCCCATTCCCAAACTTCTGGTTTGCGTGTTGGGCTTTTTTCACCTTCCCCAGGAACCTAATAAGCCTCTGGAGCCTGGGGAAGGCGAAAAACGGACCTACCAGGATCTCCAGAAGTAGGAAAACAGTCTGTTCTTGGCCTTCGGAGGGCCTCCAGGGCGGCCTGGGGAGGTCGTTTTCACACTCCCCAGGCTCCTAGAAAGCTGTGTGTGCATGTGCGGGGGACAGGGGGTCATGCGCATGCGCGAGGGGGGGGCATTAAATTATGTGAATGGGCATGCAAGCTCACACAATAACATGTGCGTTCTTTTGGCACCCAAGGCGAAAAAGGTTCGCCATCACTGACCTAGAGTAAAATCCTACTTGAAGGGTTAAAACTAGGGACCACTTATTTTTTACAACTTCTCTTCCTGTTGATTAAGCAATGTCCCCTGTTGTAATGCCTGCATTCTTGTGCAGCTTCTCAGCTGTTCTTATTTTGCTCCCACTTATGCATTTTCAAGAGAGCCCTAAAAAGTGTTTTTCTTCTAAGCTCTTGAATTAGAGTCAGCCCCTCTAGGATGGGGATGATGTGAGTGATTGTTTCTCTTTTGACCACATGACAATTATACTTTTTATATAATTTTTTCTGAGTTTTAATTCTGTGGATGAAGAGAGGAGATGGATGGATGGCTGTTGGCTTTTTACAACTAAGAAATTTCAAATTCTGAAATAAATGTACATGCAAAAAAATTCCAGCAGCAATTACTTCCATAAAAAAAAGTTTCAGGAAAGAGTGCTCAGCTTTTCCCTTAGCTTTAATCCTGGAGTTTACCCTCCACCCTGAATTTTTGCACAGCAGTGAAAAAATATGTAGTAGTCAGTTCTTCATTTCAAACTGACTCCTTCCAAAACTGCTTTTTCTTGAGGTATCTGGCATTGGAGTTTTAACTTTTACATTCATGCTTTTATATTAAAAACATGTTATTAAATCTGTCAGTGGTTTACTTAAACTTCTGTTTCTTAATTTTGGAATGATCAATGACTTGCTATTTATACAATTTATACTGTATATGCTCCTTTACATTCTTTGTCCTCTAGAGAAAAAGTAAAATCTACAGTTATTATCTAAACAAATCATATTTTTAAAATACAATTTAAATTTAGTTTGAGTTGTGTGGTCATAAACTGTTGGAGGCATTGATTTTCCCTACTTCTAATATGCATGCATTGTTCCAGAAAGTACATAGTTATATTTCCTATGTAGAATATACATTTAAAATGTTCAGAGGCCTTACTGAACATAGATTTGCGTCTATTTGCACATTAAAGGATTCAAGTCTTTTCTTTCTCGAGACACAACCACATATTTTTCAGGACTTTGGCTTGACCTTGCTAAAGTGTGCTAAGGGTTACCACCTTTGCCTATCATTTTTCATAAACCAGAGGGTGGAAGGAATTTGATCTTTTCCTGAGGTGCTTTCTCAATCTAACAAATGCTAAAGCTGGGTTCAAATCCTTCAGTAGCCTTTGGTTAAAAAAACAAAACCTTCCATCAAGTCATTCAAAAAGTACTTTCTTTTGAAAAGTGGTATAAAGGTCATGAGGATTATTACCAAGCTCTTTCCCACATTTCAACAGGGACAGAAACCTTGTTATTACCATTTGTAACAACAAAGCCAAAGTCGGCAAGATACACTTCTTTTACAACCATAAATTCTTTTTACTAGGACCTGGTTAGAAAAAGAACAGGGTTTTTTTTTCAACCTTGGCGGCTTTAAGAGGTATGGACTTCAACTCCCAGAATTCCCAAGCCATGTCAATGGATAGCAATAGATATCATGCTGGCAAGGGAATTGAAGTCCACGCCTCTTAAAGCAGGCAAGGGTGAGAAATCATGCAAGGTTGAACCTACAATTCAAACCCTGCCGCTCGGCACCCACACGCCTCCCCTCTGACGCCGTCCACGCACTCCACCCTCTGGATTCCTCCCACCCTTCTAAGGGAGAACCTCCACTCACTCTGATGCCCTGCAGCACCCGCACTTGCTCTTGCTCGTCCAGCTCGAAGGACACCTTCCTGCTGCCTTGGGTGCTCCCGCTTCCCCCCATAGCGGCACCCGGGGAAAAAACACAGAAAACTCAGAGGCGAGTTCAAAATCAAGACAGCTACCCAGACAGCACGCTTCGCTCCACCCGCTTTATAAACTCGCTCCTGGTTGGCGAGCGCAGATAAAGTCTCCAATAGCGCTACGCGGTCTTGGAGGCGGCCGTGAAGCATGCTGGAAGTCGTAGTCTTCCTTCTCCACATTCCCCTCCAGGGATGCTGCTGCTGCTGCTATTAAGGTAAAATAGATAAAATGACCCACAAACTGAACCGACTTCAGGTTATGTTTGTGTCAACGATTGGACCGGAGATGAGACGCATCCGAAATTTAGGTTTTTTTTTCAGATGACGGAGGCGGCTTGTATCTCAATGTGGAGATATATGCCGGCTGCAGATTTTAATTGCTTTTCAGCAAGACTAAACTTGCTTGCGATGCTATTTCTGTGTTTGTTTCACATAACCTATCAAAACCAAGTCATTGCTATCCATTGGCGCTGTATAGTTTGCAAATCCTGTGTAAGTTTACAAGTCACCAGTAGAGGGACAGAAAACAAGCCAGCCTGCTTTTTATTTTCATTTACCTGAATGAAATTTCAGCTTTAATATCTGGATCAAATTCCTCCATCACACAGAACTCCTACAGATGGAAAGCAAATAATTGGAGCCCCCCCCAAAAAAGCATTAAAAACACATGACTTGTCTTCCAATAATTTCTATTAAAATTATTTAGTATTTAAATATTGCTTGTTAAATATTGCATCGTTTTATAAGCCTCCCAGAGTTGCTGCAAAAATAAGTTGGGGAATATAGAAATTTAATTAATAAATATTCAGAGAAGCATGCATTGCAGTGAATGCTTTATACACTGGCATTAAATGCAATTCTACAGAATATCTATTAGAAGGTTGCAATTCATTAACAAAAATGAGACTGGGTGCAAAGAGAAAAATAAAAGTGAGAAAATGATAATAAATAATTATACATGAATTAACTGGTAGTTAATATTCCAAATTGCTTCCTCTTAAAGTTAGTCTCTTTTTTGAATAAATGATTGAAGTGACTTGCATACAATTTTAAATAAAATCTGTGGGCATCAAAAACTTGTGACCTTCCAAATATTGACAGATTGTTACAAGCTGTGTATTGAGTCTCATTACTATACATTATTGGTTTGTTAATTTATAGCCTATCTTTCTTCAAGAGCAAAAGGTGGCATAATTCTCCCATTTTCTTTCTCATAATGTTAACTCTGTAAAGTAAGATCATTTGATAAAATTGTGACTATTTAATTATTCACTTAATTCTAAAATGTACTGTCAACTACTGAGACAAACATAATAGTTACTGATACTGAACATACTGAGATAAAACATAATGTTCTGTAACTGATAAAATCCAGTTGTTACTGGAGATTTCCATTGAAATACTTTCCACCTCTGATGAAAGGCATTTCATCCTTTCTTGCTTCTGAGCTTCCAAACATTTGTGCACTACACAATAAAGCTTCTTTTTTTCTAATTAAAATGGATCCATCAAATTTTGCAATTAAAAATAGATTTTAAAAAGTGGAAGGAGGAACATTTTGTCTGTTCCAACCCAAAATAACAATTATATTTGAGATACTGGTACCATGTGTGGCAACCAGAATGCTTATGAAGTCATAATGAATATAAATGCCATTTATTTGATTCTGTTGTTCCTGATAGCACCTTAAAAAGGAATAAAAATTGAAGTTTCAAAATGCAAGGCACATTCAAAGCACAAACATTTAGCTGTTGTATTATAATGAAAGCTAACTGCCTCCAAGGCAAAATAATAGAATATTTGTTATCTGTTTGAGTACATGAAGCAGCTAATTGTAGGTTTAGGAGGAGTCTATTTCTTAATCTGTAAAGGGACTTGGCCTTGTATCACCATAGCAACCAGTATAAAGAAAACTTTCAATATTTACTAAACATGAAAAGAATAAAATTCAATTGTTTAAATTCAAAATCAAAGGGCTAGCTATTGCCTACAACAGTGTGTGTGTGTTTGTGTGCAAAATGATCAATTTAATAATTACAGTGGTTCTCCGTCCTCCACAGTTTAATTTTTTTACATACCTTTAAAAACACCTAATTCCAGACAAGTCTTGTCCAAAATGCAGTGGCAAGACTAGTTACTCAATATTCTAATTCTGCAATCTACACTAAATGCTGGTTACCACCTATAAAGGCCCACACAGCATAGGACTGGATTATTATTGGGCCACCTTCTTCCATGGGTATATGTAGATTTGTAGATTTGTAGATTTG